GATGCCTTTCTAAACAGTTACCAAACAGTTACTTTGGTCATCCTTGATTGTCCATTTTCCCCATTTCCCTACCGCATTCAGTCCATCATCAAATCCTTCTGATTTCAGCTTTTAAATAGCTCTCGATATCTGTCCACTTAGCTTCCTTATTCCCACCCTGGTCAAGACTACTTAACCTACGGCCTCCCGTTGCCTAGACTATGGCACGAGTGTTCTAACCGGTGCTTCCCTTCCACTCTAGTCTCCAAATTTATTCTCCATGCAGCAGTCAGAATGACCTTTTGAAACTGCCTTGCCCACCAGAATGTTACTGGCTTTCTCCTGTAGCTAGGAGGACACCCAGGAAGCCCTGTCACCGACTCAGGCCCTGCGTTGGCGGCCTCAGGCCCACCTCTTCAGGTGCCTTCCCTGAACTCCTGCTCGTGGTGCAGCTGCCCTGGGCTTTCTCAGGCTCCATCAAACCCACCAAGCTTTCATCCAGTCAAGGACTTCATACTTGTTGTTTCTCCTGCCTAGAGAACCCGCATCCCAATGCTTTCTCTTGCTAACATTATTTCAGCCCTTGGTGGTGGTTGGTGGTTTAGTCGCTAAGTCGTGTCCGACTCTTGTGATCCCATGGACTGCAGCCCGCCAGGCTCCTCTGTCCCTGGGATTCTCCAGGCAAGAATACTGGAGTGGGTTGCCATTCCCTTCTCCAGAGGATCTTCCCCACCCAGGAATCGAACCCAGGTCTCCTGCATTGCCGGCAGGTTCTTTACCGACTGAGCTAGGAGAGAAGCCCCTCATTCAGCCCTTAGGCCTAAGCTAAAATGTTACATCCTCAAGTAGGAATTCATTATATATTCCTGTGTCTTCTAATCTATACTAAACCCTCCATTTTAATCTTGTGTCAGTTCTGAACTTGTGGCTTTCAGCTCCAAATTCACCCCTGAGTACATGCTCTGCAATAATGGATGCAATTCCTCCCCCAGGTTGGCGTTCTTGTATTTTAAACAATAAGCGCATTGTTTTCTCAGTAGAGGGCGACAGAGGAACATTGCAAGGGGAAGGGGGTCTCCTGCTTTTTGCAGCTGCTGAGGGTGGGTCTGCAGTTTGCGCGCGTGGACCTCTGGGGATGCTCCGTCTGAGCTCGTCACCCAGGACACGCTATCCCCGTGAACCCTGCAGCCCCGGTGTGATGTGATGCAAACCTTCCTGTGACCCTGCCCATGGGGACCCCTCCTGCCCACCCGGGGGTGCTGATGCCCTCTGCTGGCTCACTTCCCCTGCTCCTGGGGTCCTCCCCACAGGGATCTCTCGTGCTCTGGGCTCCCTGCTTTAGAGGCATCCCCAGCTCCTGTGACTCACCCAGGTACTAGCCGCCAGCTTCAGTTTGCCCGCCCCGGTCTTGGGCTCCACAGGGTTACTTCCTGTTTGCCCTCTGACTGCAGACTAACTACCTCCGTCTCCACAAACTGGCGAGCTGCTCTTATAGCCAGGAGCTTCAGCTACATTTCCCCCGGAGAGCCTTGGAGAGGGCTGCCCTTTCTAGGTCTGCCTTTCCGTGGGTACTCTCCCTTGGTGACACAGAGTTTTCTTAGAGCCTGTGTATGCATGTGGGCTAGTCGCTCAGTCGTGTCCAACTCTTTGCGACCCCATGGACTGGAGCCCATCAGGCTCCTCCGTCCATGGAATTCTCCAGGCCAGAATACTGGAATGGGTTGCCATTCCCTTCTTCAGGGGATCTTCCTGACCCAAAGATCGAACCTGAGTCTTCTGCGTTGCAGACGGATTCTCTACTGTCTGAGACATCATGGAAGCCATATTTATATGAAACTTCACTTTTTAAATCTCTGTATGATTGCACCTCTTGTTTGGATTCAGACTACTACAATTCTCTTCTCCCACCCCATAATTTTTCTTATTGCACCAATCACAACTGCATCTTTATTTGTGGGTCTATTTCTTCATGTCTGTCTCTTCCACTGATATAAGCAGAAACAGAGCTATAACAGGAACTGTAAGTATAAACAGAGCAGGTACCGTGTCTTTTTTTTTTTAAATTCCTAGGGCTTAGCATAATGCCTGGCTCTTAAAAAGCACTCAGTAAATACTTGTTGCATGAATGAGTACTGTATAGCTGAGTTGATTTTCTGCTCATTTAATCTGCTGTCTTCTTATGATGCCCCCTTAACTCTTCTCAGTCACTGCAATCTATGCTAAAGATTATGCATGATGTATTCTGGAATTTGTCGCATTACAAGGGATCTGATTTTGGCCCTTTGTAAACAAAATAAAGCCATATTTTTATATTCTACCATTTCCATGGTAAACCTGTTGTGGTGGTGATGCTTCCAACTGCAGTTACTCAAGATGCTTCTTTTCTTAGTTGTGTCCAAATTCACTATAAGATGCACATTTCTTTTCCAAAGAAGACTAGAAGTAGTTTGTTTTTTTTTAATCTATTTTAACTCTAACCACTCTACCACCACCCTTTTAATTTTTCACATAAATTCTACCCCAAGACTCACACACGCACATCCCTACAGGGCCTAGTGAGTAATTTAAATGACTGGGCTCAGCGTGAGGAAATGAGCAGGAGTAGGGATTATGGCAGATTGGAGAGCACATGCTTCACCTGAATGCATTTCATTAAAAAATTTATGAAAACATTGTGCAAGCCAAATACAACATCTGCAGGCACCACTAGCTCTGTGATTGCCCCCTGGCAAGCTCAGACACCGCGGCAGGAACCATTCTAAATCTCAAGAACTAGGAATCTTAAAAGTGTGAGAAGCTTGACATAGGGTTGCTTTACGCATTTGTTTTGCTGAGGAAGGCCATTAAAGAAAAGCTGGCATCTATTAATGTTACTGTCACTATTTCACAAAAGGAAACAAAAATTATCATCACTGGGAGGTGGGAAGCACACACTATCAGGATAACAAGCCATCTACTCCATGAAAGAACCACTGGCAAGCTTGCATCCGCGCTTCTATTTGGGCTTCTGACTATAGATGGGAATGAACTGTGCCCCTCCAGAGTGACCTTGACTGATTGCGCACTGACATACCATTTCCAGGGCTCGCTCAGGAGGTAAGAGGGCGGGAGACAGTTTGCATGTGTACTTTGGCAAACTCGTCAGGGGCTTCTGAAGCATACCCACGCTGGAGCTTCTGGTCTGTTCCCCTTTCATACTCAGAATACAGAAAGCAAGGCTTCTCACCCTGATTACAGATAATCTTATTTTCCTGCACTGGAGGGAGACAGGGTTTTTGCAAAGCAGCTGATTGGGCTCACATGGCCATGAAAGGCAGACACCTCCTGGTCTGTGTCACAAATAAGTGATCCATAGTCTAGAAATAAGACGTATTCACAATGATTCAACATGCAAAGTCACTCCTCATTTAAAAAAAATGTACTGATTTATTTATATACATATAGATAGATATACTGGAGAAGGAAATGGCAACGTACTTCAGTATTCTTGCCTGGGAAGATCCCATGGACAGAGGAGCCTGGTGGGCTACAGTCCATGGAGTCGCAAACAGTCAGACATGACTGAGTGACTAAGCACACAGATAGATATATAGATATTCTTTGTTACGGAGAGGAATTAATGTCTTTGTTAAAATATATAAAATACCCCCCAAACCCTTAAATTTAAGAAACTAGGGCAATGTAATTTTTGGAGCAAAGCCAGCAGGGCAGAGGACATCGGGAGGAGCGGGCCCTCTCTCGGACGGGGCAGCTGTCTGCCTCCCCACTACTCAGCTGGAGACTTTTTCAAGAGAAATTGGACATCGGGATTTCTGTGCAAAATCTCTGAAATGTATGATGCTTGCATGTGATTAAAAAAAATTAAACATTGCATTACATGTTGCTGTTGTTTAGTCACTAAGTCGTGTCCGACTCTTGCGATCCCGTGGATGGTAGCCCACTAGGCTCCTCAAGTCTGTGGGATTTTCCAGGCAGCAATACTGGAGTGGGTTGCCATTTCCTTCTCTAGGGGATCTTCCCAACCCAGGGATCCAACCGTCATTTTCCACGTCTCCTGCACTGGCAGGCAAATTTTTTACCTCTGAGCCACCAGGGAATCCCGTCCTGTTGCATGGCGGTGGTGGTCTAGTCGCTAAGTCGTGTCCAACTCTTGTGACCCGGTGGACTGTAGCCCACCAGGCTCCTCTGTCCATGGGATAGAGTACTGCAGTGGGCTGCTATGCCCTTCTCCAGGGGATCTCCCCAGCCCAGGGATCGAACCTGGTTTTCCTGCACCGCAGGCAGATTCTCTACCGACTGAGCTCCCAGTGAAGCCCTGGTGTTGTATTACATAGGGCAGAGAAAACCCTTTAGCCCGCAGGACACAGCCTGGTGGTTGGTTGGTTGCACTCTGGGCTAAAATCACCCCAAGTCCCTTCCCCAGACCCGCAGGCCCAGGCCTCACCTCAGACTTGGCTGAAACACGGGGAGAAACACTGGGGAAGAGGACTGGAGCTCTTATTCTGAGAACATTCCCCAGAAGCTTTCAACCTTCACCTTAGAAATCGCTGCTCTAAGGGGCCCTGGGTGAGGAGATGAAGTATATTCTCAGGTCTTCTGCTTCAGAAGCCTCGCTGCCACCAGCCCCGGTAACCTAGGAAACAGTGCCCGGCACAGCGGGCTGGCGAGGCGTTAGCTGTGCTTTGCCTTAGTCGGCCTTGATTTCTCTAGGGCACTAGGTATATGGTTTGGCTCTTATTTTCTTGACTTTGATAAGAGAGTTTTCACAGAGCGTCTGAAAATAGGAATAAATGAGATAGAAACTCATGCCAGCCTTGATTTATGCAGCCGCAGAGAAAACAAATTACACTCTGAACCTCTGAAGAAGGAAAAGGTCTTTAGAGTCACAGGAGAGAGCTGTTTCTAGAACCCTGCCCCACGCGCAGGCCCTAACGAGACAGTCCTCGGCTGATGGGCTCACCGCACACCCCAGCGCTGCGCATTCTTACGCGCTCCAACCCTCCGCCTTCCCCTCAGCTTACCTTCTTGTGTCTGTAATACTGGAGGCAGCCGTCATTCTTCAGCACGAACCACCGCTTCCTCCAGCCCTTCATGAATCCCGAGTGCGTCCTCTTATGCAGGTAGCCGCGGCAGGCGGGCCGGGGGGTGTTGGGACAGCGGCTGATGTCAGATCCCACCACCAGGGTCAAGAGGTCTGGACCTGGAGGGGTGAGTGTGAGATAGGTGAGTGATAGACAGATGACTCTGCTGCAAGTCTGAAACCAGCGGCAAGGACTCTTGCTTTCCAGAAGGAATGGATGGAAAAGAGATTGTAGTTTCCATGAATGGAATAAGAGTTCTACCACTGGAATGGATCGAGAGTTCTCCAGTAATGAAACTCTCAGGTCAAATAGGAAAATGAAAACTGGGGAAGTACAGTGACTTCTCTGAGGACCTAGAGTCCATAAGTTCAGTTCAGTTCAGTTGCTCAGGCGTGTCCGACTCTTTGCGACCCCATGGACCGCAGCACACCAGGCCTCTCTGTCCATCACCAACTCCCGGAGTTCACCCAAACCCATGTCCATTGAGTCGGTGATGCCATCCCACCATCTCATCCTCTGTTGTCCCCTTCTCCTCCTGCTTTCAATCTTTCCCAACATCAGGATCTTTTCCAATGAGTCAGCTCTTCGCATGAGGTGGCCAAAGTATTGGAGTTTCAGCTTCAACATCAGTCCTTCCAATGAACACCCAGGGCCTATTTCCTTTAGGAGTTGAATCAAATGTGAGATCCAGGTATCCTGGTTCTAAGACAGAATTCTTTCTCTTCAACCACATGGCCTAGTTAGGTCTCATTATGGATGACTGGGGTCTGCTCATTCTGTCTGTAACAACAGCAAGCTAAGTATTGAACATATTTTGATTTACATCCAAAGAAGGATGATGGGTGATGTTTGGCTTTTCCATCTCACTTTTATTCAGGATAATTAGCTTCTTTGATCTGTGTTAGCTAAAGGGAGGGTCTGAACCACTGCCATTGTGTGTTGCCAATGTCGTCTCTGATCAAAATCTGTTAGTCACCTTTGAACTTGACCAAAAGTCTAGGAGGCTTGAAGCATACATGTCTTTTACCCTATTTTCTTGCCAACCCAAATTAGTACCGAGGATTGCACCCAGAGCTTTCAGTGCCTGACTTTCTTAGAGTGTCCTTCTTAGACTGTCTTTCTTACTCCTTCCTTCTTAGAGTGCCTGGACTTCAAGTCCCCTTTTCTATAGAACTGGTTTGGTGAACAGCTTGAGAAAAATTGTCCCTGTCCCTGATAACACGAGGTCACTGTCTACCAACTGTGCTTTGATGCTGCCAGCATGAACACAGACTTTCATCATACGCCTACCTCTTGATGCCTCAAGAAAATTCTCTGAATGTCACTCAGACAGACAGCAACCCTGACATGCTTTGAAGACTGCAAATGGGGTATGACTTCATTTACAATTCCTCCGAGATGGAGGCCACCTCCCTGAAGGGGGACATTTGGCCTTGGCAGCGCTGACTTCATCGTGATGTCTGACATTGAGATTACTGATCTGTTTAGAGCTGTCTATGGAAATGGGGGTCAGTGAGGAGACTCCTCTTATATAAATGACAAGCTCCAACCCAGGGGATCATTCCTGGCTGAGCCACATGGCCCTGAAAATAAAGATTTGTCCCAGAAAGGCTGGCACAGTCTTAACTTTAGCAGCACGCAAAGCACCTTGGTAATTAAATAACTCTGCGTGTCAAGAAAATTCTTCATTGCCATGTAAATACATTTTAATTTATTGAACTGCCCTTAAGCTCCTGTCAAAAACACATCCAGAAAAATTAGAAGGAATGCTCCAGATTGACCAGCAACCCACAAATGTCTTTGTCTTTGGACTCCAGTCCCCAAAGAACTGTACTCCTGGACTAATATGCATAGCTGATACATCTGCCAACTTATTTATGTGCTGCTGCAGCGGGCTGCCCCTCGAGGTCATTTTCCTCTTGCTTACAAAGACTGCATATGGGTTTCTCTGATACTGATCAAGCTAAACTTGAGTTTCAGCTGGCCAAAAACATAACTTGGTGCACTAGAAAATTCTCTCCGGGGCAGGGATACAGATGGTCCTGCTGCACCATGGTGTCATTATATTAGAAGGAAAGTATTTCACGTTCAGAGTTAGGACATGAGTCTGATGTTTGGGGAGTTGCTGAGTTCCAAACAGCTGTTAGGTGGTGGTGATGTTATACTCTTTGCAGGACCATGCTGGGCCAGGAGGACCTGGACCTGACATTTACAGAGACTTTGGACTTTTGATATTATCTTCACATTTGATTATTTATACACAGTCATTTTAATGTGTGTGTTAAAATAATTAAATATTAGATTTGTTGTTCAGTCGCTAAGTTGTGTCCAATGCTTTGTGACTCCATGGGCTACAGCGCACCAGGCCTCCCTGTCCATCACCATCTCCTGGAGCTTACTCAAACTCATGTCCATTGAGTTCTGATGCCATCCAACCATCTCATCCTCTGTCGTCTCCTTCTCCTCCCACCTTCAATCCTTCCCAGCATCAGGGTCTTTTCAAATGAGTCAGTTCTTCGCATCAGGTAGCCAGAGTATTGGAGTTTCAGCTTCAGCATTAGTCCTTCCAAAGAATATTCAGGACTGATTTCCTTTAGGATGGACTGGTTGGATCTCCTTGAAGGGCATTTCTGGAGGAGGGAATGGCAACCCATTCCAGTATTTTTGCCTGGAGAATCCCATGAACAGTACGTAAAAGCCAAAAAATGTTCAGTATGAGCAATTAAACACTTCTGGTTCTGCTGTTATTTCTTTATTAATTTACTGGGCGCCTGAAACATGCCAGTGTCCTAGTTCAGAGCTTCTGAAGCTAAGTGTAGATACAAATCACCCAGTGGGTTTGTTAAGTGCACATCCTCATTCGGTAGGACTGGGATGAGGCTTGGGATTCCGTATTTGTAAAGAGCCCTCAGGTAAAGCTGGACCACAGTTGAAGTGGCAAGTCCTGAGAAAGTCTCAGCTGCTGAGAGGCTCTGTTCACGAACACAGTCTTTGTCAGCAACCAGCAGGCTTCTGCCTTTCCTTGGCTCTGATTTCATTTCCCCTGGATGTGTCCATTTTCACCCCCAATATTTTGCAACAACAGAATCATGAGTTCCACACACCTACTTAGCCCCGCCACTACTGCTTGAGAGCTTGTTTGGAGATTCTAGCAGGGGCCACGCTGGAGAAGGACATTGCAACCACTCCAGTATTCTTGGGCTTCCCTGCTGGCTCAGATGGTAAAGAATCCATCTGGGTTCAATCCCTGGATTGGGAAGATCCCTCAAGAGTCAGGCACGACTGAGCGACTTCACTTTCACTTTTCACTTTCATGCATTGGAGAAGGAAATGGCAACCCACTCCAGCGTTCTTGCCTGGAGAATCCCAGGGACGGGGGAGCCTGGTGGGCCGCCGTCTATGGGGTCGCACAGAGTCGGACACGACTGAAGCGACTCAGCAGCAGCAGCAGGGGCGCGCAGCCACGCTGAGACCAGTTCTCCCCTACTGGGGACGGTCCTCTTCGACAAGCACGTGGCTCCAGGAGGGACACACGCGTGAGAAGGGGGGGCGACACCTGCCTGGCAAGCCCGATCAGCCCCTGCGATCAGCCCTGCTGATCAATGCAGGAACGCAGGGACGGATGCCACAATCAACCCCCACCACTGTTACTTCTTTCCCTAGGTCCCTCCCCACCCTGGTGAGAGGAGACACTTCGCCTCCCTCCACTGCACACCCCAGAAATCTTTCCCGCTGTTTGGGTGTGAGTGGGAGGAGGAATGTAGGTAGGGAGGTGAAAGAGTGAAGAGAACTCTTTGTTTCCTGAGATGAGAGAGTCTGAAAATCCACGCCTTTCGCACATTCAGCTCTTTGATGACGACGTCCTGACAAAGAAAGAGCTCTCCAGAAAACTCTCCTTCCCTAGCACTTTGGCCTAGAGGGTTTTGGAAGTAAGGAGTCCTGGGTGAGGTTATTTGCAGCTACAGGAGAGAAAAAAAGGGTTTCTTTTTGTAATTCACAGTTCCTCCTTGGATCGCTGCCTTCTCCGTATGCCGCCAATCTTAGATGGTGTCAGAGCCACACCTCTGCTGCGTGGCGCAGCGACGTGCGGGACAAGGAGTGTCCCCCAGGGCGGGGGCAGGGGGCTGGCGCCACCGTCAACCCACAGGGCCCAGCTCCAGGCTCTTCCGTGCCCGCTTTGAGTCCAGCCTGCTGTCAGGAGTCAGGACACAAAGGCGCCCTCATGCATCCGAAGGACTTCCAGGTTGACTAAGTGTCGGTGTTTTTCCCTTCCTCTCTTTCTTTTCGGCACTTTTCACTTTTCAATTTGATGATTAAATTCTCTATTTAACTAAGGAAGCAAGCCCTATAAAAGCCCAAACCAGAAAGTGAGAGGGACCTAATGTGAGAAAAATGCACATGGAGCATTTTTGTCATTCCCAGTGTGATACTGAATGCTTTCTTCAATCTCCTGCTTTGGTATGCCCCTCGATCAAACTGCGGTAATTTTTCTAGGTGTGTGTGATTAGTATTTCTGAATAGAATTGCTATTTGATTACTTTTATTATTCCCTATTCTATAATATAAAACATATACTAACATGTTAGTCTATTCTTACTGAATGGAATTATTATTTCAATAGAACTATTGAAAACTTGACCTTGTAACATACAGTGGATCCTCTTTATAATGCTGGTCTAGGAAGATATGATAACACCTGCACCAGAAGCTAACACAATAGGTATTTAATCTTATGTCTGTAAGATTTTGGCCATGCTTCCAAGATGCTGGGGTATGTACTGATGCTGGACTGGCTGTGAAAGAAACGCCAGGGAGACCTGATTAAAATTACAAACACATAGGCCACCACCCTGAATTCTGCATTTAAGAGTCTTAGGTGAGTCTGACATACAGTTAGATTTAAGATTTAAGGTTCTGAGAAGAGTTACTTGATGTTTCTATATCTAAATCAGCAATGTAGCAATCAGTAATATGATAGGATTTTACCAAAGTTTCACATACTTGGGAGTGAAACTGTGCAGAGATATATGGCAATCAAAAAGATATCAGATAGACTTTTAAGAAGCTTATACAGACAGACACAAGAGTCAAGTGTAAACATTTACGTTTTTAAACACGCTCTTAATAGGCAGCTGGTAAATATATATTTCAAGACCTCTATGTTTCATATGAACGTAACAAGAAGCTCAATCATTTGTTTCATGATTCTTACTTTCTTTAGACAAGTTGGTGACTTCCTCTCCCAAAGAGAACCTCCAAAAGCTTGTTTCAGATTCTATATACTCCAAAAATACCTTGACCAATTTATAGGCTTGCTAAGAAAATTGAACTTATTAAGCACTCTGTAAAAGTTAAATTATTCCTGTTATTTCTTCCCCGTTGTCTTGTTCTTTTTTTAGTTTCATGGTCATGTGCATCCTTCTCATAGACCCACTGCCTCTCAGTAATGCTGTTTTTCCCCTTCCTTTACCATTACTACCTGGAGTATTCTTGCCTGGAGAATTCCATGGCTGGAGGAGCATGGCAGGCTATAGTCCATGGGATTGCAAAGAGTCGGACAGGATTGAGTGACTAAGACACATACATATATTTTATGTATGCATATATATATAACTTGATGCATGATTTTTTCTTCTTTATATAGTTACACAGTTTTTTCTTTAATTCATTGATGTGATGAATTGTGTTAAAATATTTTCTTATAAACCATCTTTATTTAGGAACAAACTCTAGTTGATTATGATGTATTATGTATAATTTTAAGAAATAGTTTGATTCAGGTATTTACTATTTTTTTCCCTTAGGATTTGTGTATCTATACACTCATAAATAAAATTAACATATGATTTTGTTTTTCATATTATACTATTCTGGTTCTGGAATCAAAGTTGTAGTAGATTCATAAAATGAGCTGACATGCATTCACTCTTAATTATTTTCTGGAAAAAACTCTAGAATAGGGATTATTTGTTCTTTGAAAGTTGGATAGTTATAAAAGTGGTACCCTGGACTTCTAAGGGGGAATGGAGTGGGGATGGCAATGGGGGGAAAGAGAGGTGGTCTCTTATCTTATTCTATAAATATTTTATTATAGTCTACACAGATTTTCTGTCTATTCTTGCTCTGAAGTTGGCTCTTTAAATGCTTTTGAGCAATGTTGTTTATCTAGTTTTCAAATTGATTATTATCCAGTGTTCAAAGTAGTCTTTTATTATTTTTAAAGCTTTGTTTTTCCTTTTTTTCTCTATCTTATTTGCCTCTTTTTAATTTTTATATTTCTCCATTAAACGCTGGTAGCCTTAGAGATGTGCAGAAGATTACGCCTGAGGATGGAATGATCAGCTTCCTAATCAAGCTAGGCCTCAAGGGCTGCTCTGATGTTCCACACTGCCTGTCCACACGGGTGCTCCATCCACCAGGCTGTCAGTGGAGCGGGGTGGGGAAGTGGCCCCAGGGGGCCTCCGTGGGGAGAAAACACTATGAGGCAGTCTCTCAGCCATTCCCTATGTGTCTTCAGGCCTCTTTTGCTATTGGCTATGATTCCTACCCCTCCACACACACACAGGTCCCACATGGCCCGCTTTCCCTAAAGGTCTCTTACTCTTCTCCCTTTAGCATCTCAGATCTGGAATTCACCTCTCTGCTTCCGAGGCATCTCCACTGTTGGGTCTGAGAAGGACTGGCAAAGACACACGGAGGTCCCCCAGGGTCAGGGTCTTAGGATAGAAGCCCATGCTGGCAAGCAAGGAGTGGTGGAACTCAGATCATCAGAGTGGGCAAAGCTGTCCTACCGCTAGCTGCCAAAGACAGCGCAATGCTCTTTCCCCTGTATCTGTGTTAGCTCACCATCTGTTCAGTTCAGTTCAGCCGCTCAGGCGTGTCCAACTCTCTGCGACCCCATGGACCGCAGCACGCCAGGCCTCCCGGTCCATCACCACCTCCCGGAGTCCACCCAAACCCATGTCCATCGAGTCGGTGATGCCGTCCAGGCATCTCATCCTCTGCCGTCCCCTTCTCCCCCTGCCCCCGATCCCTCCCAGCATCAGGGTCTTTTCTGATGAGTCAGCTCTTCACATCAGGTGGCTAAAGTATTGGAGTTTCAGCTTCAACATCAGTCCTTCCAATGAACACCCAGGACTGATTTCCTTTAGGATGGACTGGTGGGATGTCCTTGCAGTCCAAGGTCTCTCAAGAGTCTTCTCCAACACCACAGTTCAAAAGCATCAATTTTTCGGCACTCAGCTTTCTTTACGGTCTAACTCTCACATCCATACATGACCACTGGAAAAACCGTAGCTTTGACTAGACAGACCTTTGTTGGCAAAGTAATGCCTCTGCTTTTTAATATGCTGTTTAGGTTAGTCATAACTTTCCTTCCAAGGAGTAAGCGTCTTTTAATTTCATGGCCGCAGTCAAAATCTGCAGTGATCTTGGAGCCCAAGAAAATAGTCAGCCATCATCTTTTAGAAAGCCCCCCAAACCCCATTCAAATTTTAGAGATGTTTTCTGTCTTCCATTAACTGAGGCTGATGGCTTCAGAGGTATAAAGAACATCAAGCTTCTTGGGGGAAAATAGAAGAAGTACCAAGAGTGGAAATATTACTAAAATTTGGTTTTATTCAACTCAAAAGCTGGAACATTAATTTGTGAGAAAGAGCTGTGGGAACAACTAAATTCAGCTGCGAGGGTTAGTACCCCTCCGTCACTAAGTGAGATCCCATCGATTCATGGGTATACTCACTGCCATATCGTCTCAGGTTCCACGTGTACTCTGCAGGGATAGAGATTTGCGTAGGACATGTAAGGAGTTGCGGCACACGTTGACAGTGTCCTTGCATTCCTGGTGCAGCAAGTCCTCGACAGACAGCCAAACACTAAGCTAAATTCTACCCCAAAAGTTTCGGCGTGCTTCTCAGGACACGGCATTTGTTAGCGATTTTCTGGTGCTGGGCTGCACTAGTGAAGTCTCTTGCTGTTGCTTACCCCCAAGCGTGATGGCATCATGAGAAATGCCAAGAGATAGTTATTGCTCAGCAATAAGTTATACTTCTAGCACATGTGTCCTGCTCCACATGCGCACGTTTTAATGCCTCATGGCCTGATAATATACTTTGGGGCCACAGAGGGACACATGCCGCCTTTGGGAAGCTGGGAATAGGAAACCTCATCAAATAATCCCATGATGGAACACAGCAGTTTTCAGCTGTATATTTTTAGGTCTCTGGGGAGACAAGGGTTTGTAAAATGGTGCTAAAGAAAGTAACTTGTTTTGCAGAGACAAAGATGGTATTAACCTTTCCCAAAAGTTTAACGTGAGTGGATACAGGGGTAAGGGGTATGTGTCACTATTTCTCTCTTGGTGGGTCCATCTGTGTCAGATTGCCTTAAAGGCAGGCCTCAAGTAAAACCTGTAGAAGCTTTAGGTTTGTAATTTCTTTATTTCCTTCTCTTTTATAACATGATAACCCTGAGGCTTTTAATTCTGAAAACTGATGGAATTACAGAAAAGAAGGAAAGAAAGAAAAAAAAAAGGAAGGAAGGAAGGAGAAAGGAAGGGGAGAAGGAAAAAAGAGACCCAGTAAATGAACTATTGTCATGGTATTTTTCGTGGCAAGGAGTTTTAGGAGATGTATCGGTGATAAACAGAGCACATTTTTCTCACTCCTGTTTGCTGATTTCACTTTTGTGGCTGGCCATCCATACGGAAGGAACATGGGACAGACACGTGATTCAGTTTCTATGAGAGATCACGTTGCTGACAAGGCAGTAATGGTAGTCTCAGGCGAGAAGTGATGTTGCACCCATTCTGCGGGTTTCTACCTCCTCATGTTTGTATTCTCTGCTGTATTTCAGACCTCTGCCTCGTCAGAGTCACACTGGACTCTGCAGACCACCTACCTCTCCTTGCAAGGTGCACGGCTTCTGCGTGCTCCACGCCGGTGACCTCCGTCCCGTTGACGGCCAGCACCACATCCCCGACCTGGAGCCCGGCTTCCTCGGCGGCACTGTCTGCAAGTAAGACAACGAGGGTCTCATTGAGGAGGGTCCCGAGCTGAGTGCCCCGCGTCCTGTCCTCCTTTGAAAGGCTCTTTCTCTAACCGGCCTTTCTTTCCAACTTTAGACAATCGCCGATGTCATTAATAAGGAGGAAAAAGCTCTCTTCGCAGCCTCCTTTCATTTCTAGTGCGTGGTGTCTTTACACGTCCAGCCAGGCATCTGCATGGCCTCTTTGCAATATAATAGCCAGGCTGCTCAGAAACTCAATCTATTCATCCACCGGCAGGTTGAACTGCTACTTCCCATCCCTCCATTGCTGCTAGGTCTCTTTGTAACCCTGAGAAAATCACTTAACCTCAATATCTTCATCTGTAAAAGCGGGGATGGGGGCAGAGCTTCTCTGCAGGATTGTTGAGGGAACAAGTAATTGAAATACTTATGAAGTGGTGGCAAAAACAGATCTTGAAGTAGTCAGAGAAAAAAGAAATAAAGAGCTGCTTTTCCTTTTCATGGTGTAGGCTCCTTTCCGAGCCATCTCAGAAAGGAAGCCAAAAATAGCCTCAAACATTAAGATTTAAGTTTTGGAAGGTGGGGAGGATCTCTCCAGAGGCTATTTATTTTACCCCTTGGTTTTTAGGTATCCACATTTACTGTAACATACCTAATATTCTCTAGAGTCAAAAAGGATGTAATAACTCATTTCAGAGTTAATTCATTTTAAAAAAGATCTCCCATGTATTTGAAAAAGATTCTTTCTGCAGCAGTTTAAATCTGTTTTTTCTTTTTCATTTCAGTTTAAACCCATTTTCTCTTCCTTAGATCCCAGTGCTGGGTGCATGTTTATGGACTTGCAGAATAATTATACAGCAATATTAGGCTGTTATATATATATAATTTGTATATATATATTTATATATATGATATATAGGATGTCATAAACCTCCTCAAATACTTTTAATCTTAAAGCATGACTCAGTTAGTGAGCTTACATGACTTTGGATATTTTTAATAATGACTGTAGTTTGTCTAAGTCTGTTTATTATAGTAGGGAAAATCTTTTCTGCATGAACAGACAATGGTCAATCAATGTAGGAAGGTTAAGTGAAGAGTAATATTTCATATATCTATTTATTTACATAATATCATCCTTGTGATGAATTGACATCTCATGGTATGGTTGATCATTTGAAAAGATTTCTTCCACTGTCTTAAAGGACTTGATTAAGGCAATGCCTTCTGAATAAAATTCCAGAATGATGATATAGATCCAGAAACAATTTATCAACTTTCGTACTCATATGCTACTAAATATGTCTTTATACAGTACTTATCCAATAAATACCCATTGAATGGATGAAAAACCTAAACATTATACCTTCAAGGAGCTTAGAATTCTATTGGAGAAGAAAAGACATGCATAATCAGGAAGAAATACTATAATATTTGAATGGCAAGTATAAAAAACATGAAGATAATAGGCATTGTAAAACTTCAGAAAAGAGAATTCTCACTCCCATTTGGAGTGGTTAAGAAATGCTTTTCAGAGAGGTGGAATTTGGTCTGACCTTGATAATAGATTCTCCATAGTGGGGAGTAATGGGGAAGGCAGGGTGACAAAGACTGCTTGGTGTTCACAGACCCAATTCCTTTTCCATCTAGGCTCATATATGGAAAGTTTTTCTCTGACTGTTTTGCAGTTTGGGAGGCAATATAATTGAGTTTCAGACATTGGAGTTGGATAGAAGTAATGTGTACGACTTTTAGGTGTGGCTCATTAAAACATCCCCAGGACCACGCTCCACATTCTTTACCCATTTTCCTGACTTCAAGGTCCTATGGCATGAGACACCAAAGAAAAAATAAACCTGGATCTCAAAACATTATGTGGGACAGAAGCCATCTTCCAACCAGGAACATCCACATGAGACTATCAGCCTGAGTGACTAATGGTCTTCTATTGTCTTAAACCATTAATGCATATTCTGTTACCAAAGCTAGCATAATTTCAATCAGCAAGCCAGCCAAGAAAGAAAATCTTCTGAGCAAAGGTACACAAGCAGAATGTCTTAAAGACGTGCCAAAAGGTGGTGATTCAGATCCACTGGAGCAGATGTTGTGGGTGGATACAGTGAGCCTGGAAGATAAGGATGAAAAGACAGCCAGTATATAAAGGGTCTTGAATGTGAAGATGATGAATTTGTGCATGGTCCTTAAACAAGAGAGCCATTAGAAGTTTGTGAGCAGAAAAATAGATACACGATGGTTTTCAGAAGATTAATTTAGAACAGGGAGGGATTAATTTAAGCTTTTCAGCAAAGATATTATTATAAGAATCAATACAGAATCTAGAAACAGGAACTAGAAATGAAGGTTAAAATGCTGCCATAGGACCTAAAATATCTCAAGGCACTCATTTACATGAGTAGGGCCAGATGCCTTTCTACCCCTCTTAGACAATAAGCATCTCATGAGCAAGTAAAATTTCTTATTTATTGATTTAGGCATTTCCCATGGCTAGTATAATCTCTTGCACATGGTTGGGGCATTAAAAACATTGACTAAATATACTGAGATAAGCAAGGAAGAGAAAACATTGAAAATGTTCACTGGGCCAGGTATAAAAACGTCTCTGAAATCTAGGATAGGAAGTTGGCCTGAGAAGTGGATTCAGAACTTAGAATGAAAGGGACAAATGTAAGGAGAGAAGTACAGAGCACTGAGAATAAGATCTTGAAAAATAATCATAATTCCCTGTAAGGAGAGAGAGGAAATGGGCAGCTAAAGAGGAACATAAAGAAAGGGCAGAGAGGTCCTAGCGAGTGGAGGCAAGAGTATAAGATCAGGGAAGGTGCAGAGGACAAGCGTATGGATACCACCGGGGGATTGGGAGGGGGACGAATTGGGAAATTGGGATCGGCATGTACACACTCTTGTACTGAGTATAAAGGAGGGGACTAATGGGGACCTACAGAACAGCACAGGGAACTCTACTCAGCACCTGGTGGAGACCGCCAGGGGAAGGAAATGAAAAAAAGGGGGGATGAATGTACACGTACCACTGGTTCCCTCTGCTGTACATCAGGGACTGACACAGCTTTGCAAAGCAAGTATACTCCAACAAAAATCTGTTAGAAAAGATCAGTGAAGGCAAAGGAAAAATTCCAAGGTGGAGAAAATGGTCAACAGTGCCCTAGTGACACCACACAAGTAACCACAATAATAGTATGGTTGTAAATCCTTGTCTATTCACAAGGTCAAGACAACAAGGATGGAAGAAATGTGACTAAAGCTGGATTAGTGAAGTCACAAGTGTTAGTCGCTCAGTCGTGCCAGACTCTTTGTGACTCCATGGACTGCAGCCCACCAGGCTCCTCTGCCCATGGGATTCTTCAGGCAAGAATACTGCAGTGGGTTGCTATTTCCTTCTCCAGGGGATCTTCCCAAACCAGGGATCGAACCCCAGTCTCCTGCACTGCAGGCAGACTGGATTAGGAAAAGCAAATTATAGCTAAAGAATTTTAAAGAGTGTGACAGACGTGAAAGACAAATGTTTGAGCTATTTGTGCTGAATCATATGCTAAATGATTGATTAGATGAAGTGATAAACTACCATATAATCAAAAGTATGAGTGTTTGGTAACAGTTCTTCTCTTCCAAGTAAACTTAGCTTTAAAAACAATATTGGACCTAAAGAATCCACCAATATGCAAATAACTTTTTTTAAACACGTTGATTGAATCAAAATTCACATACCATATCATTTTACCCATTTAAAGTGTATAACTAAATGCTTTTTAGTATATTCACAGAGTTGTGAAAGTATCATCACAATATAATTTTAGAATATTTTTGTTGCCCCAGAAAAAAAAAAAAGTAACCAAGAGCAGTCACTCTCCATCCCCACTAGCGGCTCAGCTCTAGGCAATGACTAATCTGTTTTCTGTCTCTGTGGACTTGCCTGTTGTGAACGTTTTATATAAATGAAATAATATAATATGTGGTCTTTTGTGTTTGGTGTCATTCACCCAGCAAGCTATCTTCCCGACCCATCCACGTGGTAGCATTCACTATGTTCTTTTCAATTACTGAATAAGTATTTTGTTGTAAGGATATAGCACATTTTGTTTATCCATTCATCAATGGATGATAATCTGCATTGTTTTCCATTTTTATGATGAATAATACTGCTATGAAAATTTGAGTACAAACCTTTTTTGTGAACATGTGTTTTAATCACCTTAGGTATACACCTAGGAGTGAAATTCCTGGGTGAAGTAGTAACTCTATGTTTATTTAACGTAGGAGGAATGATCAGACAGTTTTTCAAAGTGGCTATACCATTTGACGCTCTTATCACCATTGTATAAGTGTTCTCAGTTTCTCTTCTGGCCAATATTTGCTATTTTTTACATACAGCCATCCCAGTGGGTATGGGATGGTATTTTGTTGTGGTTTTCATTTGTTTTCCTTGATAACTACTGATGTGGAGTATGTTTTTATGTGCTTATTTGGCTATTTGTTTATCTTCTTTGGAGAAAGATCTACTCAAATCCTTTGCTCATTTAAAAACTGTGTTATTTATCTTTGCATTATGAGTGAAAATTATTCTTGTTTGTAGAGGAATTACTTCTGTAGTGTTACTCTTCCCGATGGTTTATGTGATAGCTTTTAGCTTTAATTATAGAGGGTATTGACTGTGTTCCTCTAATTTGAATGCAATTTACAAATTTTCCCTTTATCTACGGACTATGGTGACAGTTTGAGGCATGATGATCTCTCGGAGGAGGGAGGTGTTTCAAGGTGACTCTAATATACCACACAGACAGTTGCCCTATGAGGCTGCTCTTGGGAGCAGAATGGGAGTATACATCCTACGTTGGACAGGAAGGATCAAAGTGGTAAGAAAACAGGCCCACGCTTTTCTAAGTTGACTTCCCCAATAGGATACTTGATGACATAGTTCTGTATTTATTATAAAGAGTTAAATGCTGAGCTACTTCATCCTTTTATGCATATTTACATATAATGTAGAATCTGAAAGCTTATAATTAAAAAGGGGGCTTGTCCTTTTCATTTAAAAAATTTTTCCTATAACGGTAGCATTTTAAATTCTAGAGCTTCCAGAAGGATGGGCCTGTCCATAATTTCGTCTGTGGTCTGCCCATTCCTAACTGTGTCATTTCCTTTTCAAGTTTGCTTGGTATCAGAGTTGGAACATCTGTTTCTTTTGTTTATGCCAACAGATCTCACAAGCATTTGGGCCTTTATAGAAAATGTTCATGCAAGTGCCAGCTGGGTGTGGGCAATTCGTTATGTGAGCTCAAGCAAGCTCCCTTTCTGTGTACTTATGGATAATCATTTCTATCCCACCTACAGGTCTTCATGCTGTATCTTTTTTATCGTCACTGTGTAATTAAGTCTCTCTATTGCATGCAGAACAATGTTTTGTGGTGTGAATGAGATTCTCTGAAATGCTGGAAATATGTGTAATTTTAAAGTCCCTCAACCCTTCATTTAGTAGATTTGACTAGACAATGGATTTCAGAGGTTGCTATTCAGCACCGAGTAATACATTTAAAAAAAGAGAGAAATAGACTTAGCATACATGAATCCCTGCCAGGGCAGCACTTTCTGATGTTGAATAAAATCCTAGGTTAACTGTGTATTATTGGAGCATTTTTGCTACAGTAGAGATACTTCAGTTTTCCTCTTTCAAAAGATCAGGTACTCCTGAATATCACATCACTTACAGAGCAAATATTTTGGTATGTTTCACCTCTGAATGGATTGGATATGGTTAACTGTCTCAGCTGGACAGTTATAAAAGTATCAGACATTAGAGAAATCATAACCTTTTATTAAACGGCATTTACTTATTTTATCTAGAAAGGCAGGCATGAAAAGTGTGTCGAAGTTTTTGATAGTTTGCAAAAGTTTGCTAAACTTATAAAGTCAGACCTATTTGAGTTTTAAAGGGAAGTCAGTTTAATCTTCCTTATGAATTATTTCTTTGTTTAAGGCTATTCTTGCAAGGTCAGAGCTAGAAAGAGGCGAGAAGGGAGAAGGGAAAGAGAACAGAAGAGAAAGGAAGCAGGGCAGGGAAGAAGTGGGAAGGAAATAAGGGAAGCGGGAAGGGACCAACACCGTGGATACCTTCCCTGTGAACGATCATGTATTTTCTTAAAGCCAGATGTCCATTAAAAATATCGAAGCCCCTTGATGATAAAAAGTGAACTGTCGTTGTCTATACAGAGACAATTAAAGCCACGACTGTTTCTCGTTCTTGCGAATTTGAAGAGCGCTAAGAGGCAGAGTAAGGGTGTCCCTGGACAAAGTTTGCAGTGTTTATGTTTATGTCATCTGAGTTCTGTCGTCACAGCCGTATTCCCCTTCTACTGTCTCCTCACTTGTCTGGGGTCCAGCCGTACACCCCCAACTCCCACCAACATCTGGGCAAACTCCCTGCCTTATCTAATCATTCTGAGAATGATCTGCATGATAGTAACCCATAGTTGATTAGCTGATTAAACTTTAATTGAAATTTCGTCACATCAAAGTTAATAACCTGGCCTTTTGCTTTTCTATAAATATTTTAGGACCTAATTGAAACGTCTTTATGAAGAAAAACAAAAGCAAAAACAAAGAGAGCTACTCTTCTAGAATTTTAATTGGGATCACATCTCTGGATGAATTTAAGGAAGAACTGACATCTTTAAAATTTACAAACTGCTCACATTTTTCCTGCTGTTAATTTAGGTGTTCTTTAATTTTTTTGTATTTTGTTATTTTCAAAGTGATATTCAGCACACCTCTATGAGAATTATGTCATTCAATTTGCCTTGTTTTTCCTTTCTGAAAGCTTTATATTTCATACTCTGCATAGAGGTCTTAGATCCACACTACCTAGACACAGCTTCAAGAGAAACTGCTGTGAGGATTGTGACCGAGCGAAAGCCCGGGCTCCCCATGTGGCGCTGGTGGTGAAGAACCCGCCTGCCGATGCAGGAGACAGAAGAGACACAGGTTCCCTCCCTGGGTGGGAGAGATCCCCTGGAGGAGGGCCTGGCACCCCACTCCAGTGTCTTGCCTGGAGAATCCCCATGGACGGAGGAGCCTGGCGGGCCACCGTCCATAAGGTGGCAAAGAGTCAGACACGGCTGAAGCGACTTAGTGGGTAGGCAAGGCAGGCTTCAACTGCCACAATTTCTGGGCATCCTGCCTTCTACTAAGGCTACATTCTCCCCAGAAAGTCATTACCTCCAGCCTGTGACTGAATCTGGAGCGGGTACTGGAGTCAGCCTGTTTCTGGCGAAAAAGAGACTGATGTAGTGGATGGTTTTCCTGGGCCATCTCAGAATTTCTCAGAGCTGCAGCGCAGTTTGACTTCTCCCTACACAATTCTGCCTCCTTCTCCCTGTCCCTTCGTAGGTGCCAGACCTGCATCGCGGTCTAAAGGCCCTACTTACCCTTGTCTGCCTCAGAGCTTTCCTCCAACCTTCTGCACATCTACTTCTGCATTGGTGTCTATCTCTCAGACTACAGGCACTGAGAAAAAGGAATTTCCCTTATTACCTCAAAGAGTTCTACGTCTGTTCCTATACTTACAGTACTTTTGTAAGTCACAAGAAGGTAAAAGGATTATCTTTTTAGAGGAGGAAAGGAGGAAAAGGTAAAAATTCAAGTGCATTTGAACCAGGTATGGAGGTGGGATTTTAATGATATCAGAGATGGGATTGGGGTGCAGGGCAGAGCAGGAAGGGCCACCGTCCTCGAGGCCACTATGCGTCCCTCCCTGACCATCCACCCCACCCCAGCAGGCACACACCTAGGGAGCTAGTGCTCCCTCCACAGGCACTTTGGGAGCATCCGCTCTGTTACCTTTGGGACACTGCACCAGGTATTGTGGATTAAAATAATGGATATGATACAGTTTCTGATCTTGGAAAACTCCCAGTCCAGATGAGGACTGCAATGTAACTCAGAAAACCGTAGTAGCCCTGGGCCCCCTTCTGGGGTAATTTCATTAGGTCTCCCTTAATGCAGCACTTTGCCGACAAGGTCTGGCCAGCCAAGGCTGTGGCTTTTCCAGTGGTTGCGTGCGGACGTGAGAGCTGGGTCAAAAAGAAGGCTGAGCACCGAAGAACTGACGCTTCTGAACTGTGGTGTTGGTGAAGACTCTCGAGAGTCCCTTGGATGGCAAGGAGATCCAACCAGTCCATCCTAAAGGAAATCAGTCCTGAATATTCATTGGAAGGACTGATGCTGAAGCTGAAACTCCGATACTTTGGCCACCTGATGTGAAGAACTGACTTATTAGAAAAGACCCTGATGCTGGGAAAGATTGAAGATGGGGGGAGAAGGGGACGACAGAGGATGAGATGGTTGGATGGCATCACTGACTCAATGGATGTAAGTTTGAGCAAACTCTGGGAGTTGGTGATGGGCAGGGAGGCCTGGTGTGCTGCGGTCCACGGGGTCGCAGAGAGTCGGACACAACTGAGCAACTGAGTAACAGCAACAATGCAGCACGCTGGGCATGGGTTTATTTATCTTATCTTTATATCTTAAATTATTCTCATGTTTTAGATCAGGGAGAAAAAGATCTATCTTTCATTAGGTATCTACTCATTCCTAATTTGTTTGTTAGGAAATAAATCTGAGAAGCCATAAAGGAAATAATCTATGGGGAATGGAAATCCTTGTAGAAACTGTTAAACAGTAATAAATTGGCAGCTGCCTACTCAAGACCCTTTTTATCTGGAGAGCTTGAGCCCTCTTTTTGTAGGTACAGACAGGGCTCTTCTTTGATGGGGAGGCCCTATATTTACCAGAGGTGTCCATTCCAGCAGGGAAGCATGGTATTTTAAAAAAACAGTTGATCATGATGTCAGCCCTTGCCAATCCTTATGAGTTTTTGATAGATTTGAGATTTAGAAACTACTTCTGTTGTATGCATGTGTTTTAGAAGACTTCGATATTGGAGGCTATTAGTACATTGCATGAGGCTGAGATAGTTGTCCTGGTCTGAATTACAACTGCTGTAGTGAAACAACTTACTAGCATCCACTTCAGTTACCACGATCGGTTTGGAGTACTGAATACGGAATCCCCAGGGGTAATCGCCGGTCCCTTTGATGAGCTTCACGGTGCGCTCACGGACTAAAGAGGAAGCGAGAAGGACATTGAGTTAATCTTTAGATACTACAAATGCAATGAAAATATAGCTGGTATTCATTGCTTGTTAAGTATGAAGAAGTGAAGTGAAGTCGCTCAGTCATGTCCGACTCTTTGCGACCCCATGGACTGTAGCCTACCAGGCTCCTCTGTCCATGGGATTTTCCAGGCAAGAATACTGGAGTGGATTGCCATTTCCTTCTCCAGGAGATCTTTCTGACCCAGGGACTGAAACTGGGTCTCCTGCATTATAGGCAGACACTTAACCGTCTGAGCCAAGTATATACCGGGCTTAATAAAAGTCAAAGTACTTTGCAACTAGTATCTAATTTAATCTTCACATTGACCTAAGATTAATGTTTTTTGGAGAGGAGAAAACTGAGGCACAAAGATGCTAAACAAGTCAGCTGAGTCACGTGGTGAGGAAGGGGCAGGGTTTAGTGCCTCAGCAGCTGACCCCTGCAGGTTTCAGGCACGCAGACCTGTGAACAATGGGACAGTTATGACAAGGTTTTAATACACATGGAAATGAGGAAACCGAATCTTCATCCATAATAGTTAGGTCTTACAGGACCCCAGGAAAGCCTGAAGATCTGAGCTTCTCAGAAACAAGGAAAGCAGCTGGGCCCTGCAGAAAAGGGAAGGTTATGCTGCATTGAAAGTGGAGAGTTCCAGAAGGTTGACAGTAAAAATTCAAAAAGATTTTACATTAGTCTAATCATCTTAAATTAATGTGGTGCAGCTGTTTACCAGTCTGCTTTTCGGTGCGCCTGCTCCTGTTTCCTCCTGCTGTCTTTATACCGTCTTTTCTGTAGGTGTAAATATAGGGGGGGTGGGTGGGTGCGGGTGTTTCTTCCTCAAGACTTCTGCTTGTTGATAAGTTCATAACCATAACTCACTTATGGACCCTCTTGAACTTCCTCTACCTCAAGACATTTTAAATTTCTACCTCAAGTCTATCCAAGGGTATTTTCCCAGGCTGAATTCCTAAAAGATAAAATCCACCAGGTAAGAACTCTTTGGGCTATTACTCTTCAGAGACAAGGGAAGAGCAGGATTCCAAGGCAGAAAGCATGTCTCAGGAAGACTTCCTTTTGAGGAAGGGCAATGGGGTCACAAAGAGTCGGACACGACTGAGCTAACTGAACTGAATTTCCATAAAGGAGATGTGGCCGTGGTAGGTGTGTTGTCTTTATAATATATTTACACCTTGCTTTTTATTTAGAAAAAAATACATGCCTGAATCATGCTAGAGTACAGAACTGAAATAAAAAATCTGAAGGGCTTATGTGATCTCAGAAGAATCCCTTTTTAAATGCTGACAAAGTTATCCAAGGAAGAATCACAGTGAAAGACTTCAAAATATTATTTGGTTGTATTTGAGACCAACTTCATCGGAGAGAAGTATTAATGCAATACTGGGAGAATTACTCTTTTCCCAACAATTAGATGGAAATACTATATTAGTTGAGTTTTTTTTTCTGTATGTTAATGAATATCTTAAAATGGTAAAGACTAAATCATAATAAAGTACAATGATAAAGTACAAAATACCTTCCTGAGTTCCAGAAGTGAATTAATAGTAATATGCCTCTGGAAAAAAAAGGTGTTATTAGGTCTCTAGGAAAAATGCAATTAATTATAAAATAAGAATGCTCATCTATTAATAAAGGCAGGGTAAATTCACACCTTAAGATATAATTTAATAGAATTTCTTTCAATTAAAAATAGGAATACATTAAAAATTTATGGGTAATATATTTTGTAGCTTCTTTTCAGCCATTCTTTTGTATTTTTCTGTATCATTTTTCATTCCTCAGAAATATTTACATCTTCCTCCATATTGGAGTTCAGGGACATTTCTTCTATGAAGAGTTGCATCGCCTAGGTTCATATAAAAGGTTCATGCTAAGAAAAAGTGTCTGCTGTAGGCAACATATGGATAAAGTTAGAAGCAATCAAGCATTCAAAGGAATTCTTAACAATTGTATTTTGAATGGCTGAGGACCTTTGTTCAGTTTCCCCTTTGATGAGACATCTCTTTCTTTGCCATTGCTGACAGGTGTCTGGGTGGGTGATTCCCTAATCTTTGGAGAGATACTGTCATTGTAAATTTACCTTATATTTTGCAGAGCTTGTAAACAGATTTGCCATTGTTTTATTCCATTTCCTCCCAGGTATTACTGAGGTAAATCTTTTTAAAAATTAAGTTTCTTATAAAAAGATGACAAAGATAGTAAAGGATTAGGCAGTTTTTCCAAATGTTCTTAGCTGACCATCTCCATGGTCAGCTAGGGAATGAAAATATCTAATAAAAACAAGGAAACAAGCATCTTTGTCTTTAATAATCCACTGTAGCCTAATATCAGAGGTAATTCATTTATAAACATTTACTAAGTATCTACTATGTGCCTTATTGTTTTCTTATGTATCCTACTATATGCCTTATTGTTTTCTTATGTATCAATACAAAGACTGCAGTGTTAAGGACAGAGAAGAGACTTTTTCTCATGGAGTTTATATCCTAGATGTTGGCTACCCAAATTGGCAAACATGCAAAGATAGAATAGTCTCTTCATATGGAGTCCTGAAGGAATGCTTGTTATCCCAATATGTCTGAACAAAATACACTGTTTCTCTATTGGTTCAAACAGTATCTGGAAAAGCATACCAAAGGTGCTGTGCAAGTATTGAGTGTATTCCAGCCCTAAAATTCTGTGCTCTGCTCTATTCTGTGCTCCTGGGAAGACTTCTTACCATTTGTTAATACGATTCCCTTTTGGCAGTTATTTTACATGACTATTTGGATTGCCACTTACTGGATCTCAGCATAATTTAAGGGACAGAACTGGGAAATTCAAGGACCCCAAAATGACTATTTTAGCAGTCTGCAGCAAGCTGGGAGCTAATCAGGGCAAAAAAGAAAATCAGAAATCCTACTTCTGACCTCGGTAGAAATCATTTCTAACAATCCTACTTGTCAAAACTTCTTGCTCCCTATAGGTTACCCTCTTGATACTAGCTTCTGCTTTTGACAAATTGCTTATCCAATTGATGTTTGTTTAATGGAGTATTTTTATTGTGTTGATTCAAATCAAATCATGTTTGCTTTTTGTCTTACATGAGATGATAAAATAGCTATTGCTTTCAAGGCTGTAGCGGTGGTGTTTTTTTTTTTCAATCAGGTAAATCGAATGTCAACAATGTATGAAAGTATAAACTCAATAAAATCTTTAAACGGTAAACTCAACTATAGTGTGCTCCTGTGGGAGAAGATACACTCAAAATGTTTTGCAACATGTTTCCCTCCCATTCTGAAGACAGTTTTCTCACATTTTGAGATTTATAGTCCTGGAGCCCCTTGCTGCTGTCTGGAGGATAATCCGTGAGTGCCACACAGCTGCTGAAAAGCCATGAATAAATGTCATTGTCTTTTCAGAGACTGTGTGGTCACATCGTCAAGAAATTTATCCCCCCAAATAGCATTTCCTTGGAATCATCTTGTTAGATGTAAAAGTTCAAATGAAGGGTACATAGTTCCATAAATACAACACCACTTATATATTGAAAATACCCTAAAATTTTCTTGTAGCTCCAGCCATATACTTCTCTAGTGATGCAAAACTTTAAAAAATCTATTTCTCCAAATAATAGAAGGGCATTTTCTAGAGTATTAAAGACTGAATTTTGTAAGTTTAAACTTTACTCTCACAATCCATATTGGTAGATATAAATTAGCATTGCAATATCTTCAAAATGTCATTAGGCTAATAAAGACATCTTTCAGTTTTAAAATTACTCTTTTGCCTCCAACTCATGTTTCCTCCCAGTCTCCAGCTTCTTCTATTGATGTCTCAAAATCACATTGTTAAAAACATGTATCTGGTATGTGAAATACTTCAAGCATTAATAACAGGAAGCAAGAACAATTAGTACATTCTTGGACTGAGGTTCAGTGAAATAAATATTAATAGTTAAAACTCACTTACTACATTTAAACATAATTTGTTTAGTTGTGTGGATGTGTGTGGGCACATATGTGTGTGTATACACACACATGCATGAATTTTTTGGCAAAATTAAGCAAATTTTTTTTTTTAACTAAAGAAAATAATGGTGAATCAACTAAATGCTTGTTCTTTGATGACCATACACAGCTGTAGAAGTGGTGATAATTGTACTTTATTACATCAGGTGTTAGCCAAGATATTGTGAGGGAAGAATGAATTCTATCGAATGTATCTTTTCACCTGCCTGCCACAAACAGTCAATACATATTGGTCAATTTAGTTAGTATATTATGAAACAGCAGTTGTTTGCAATTTATATAATATACATATAAATATTAACAGATATGTGTGAATATGTATTTAATATTTAGTTAATATTTTCATAAAATTAATAAAAATAAGGATAGGAGATAGAAATAGTCAAGACAGATAAAAATAGCCCAGTATAATTTTCACATATATTGTGTCATTTCACATTTTATAACACTGTAAGATAGGCAGAGAGATAATAACAGTAAATAAGTGAATTTTCTAAGGTCACATAGCTAGTAAATTACTTTTTTATACATTCATGCAACAAATATATATTGGCTTTCTATAATGAAATAGGCACTGTCCTAGGTGTGGAGAATACATCAAGGAACAAATAGAGAGCTTAACCCTGAAAATCCTATTTTCAGCCTAGTGTATTTTTTCCTGTGCCATTCTATTACTCAAATAAAAGTTAACTATAGAAGATTTTGTTTCTTTTTTAAAAAGTTCATTCCTCAATTCTCAGCATCTTTTTTTTATAGTAGATTTACAAAGCTGTGTGAGTTTCTGGCATACAGCAAAGTGATTCAGTTACATATATATATGCACACACATACATATATATATGCATATTCTTTTTAAGATTCTTTTCCATGACAGTTCATTACAGCATGTTGAAGATATCAGAGTTCCCTGTGCTATACAGAAGGATCTTGTTGTTTATCTGTTTTATATACAGTAGTTTGTGTCCGCTACTCCCAAACACCCACTTTATCTCCCCTCTTTTTTCCTTTGTTAACCGAAAGTTTGTTTACTATGTCTGTGAGTCAGTTTCTGTTTTGTAAATACGTTCATTTGTATCATTCTTTTAGATCCCACATATAAGCAGTATCGGATATTTCTGTCTCTGACTCACTGCACTCAGTAGGACAATCTTCCATCCATGTCGCTGCAAATGGCATTATTTCATTTTCTTTTTGTGACTGAGTAATATCTCACTCTGTGTGTGTGTATCACATCTCCTTCATGCATTCATCTATTGAGGGACTAGGTTGCTTTCTTGTCCTGTAAACAGTGCTGCAATGAACATTGGGGAGCATATATTTTTTCAGATTAGAATTTTCTCTAGATATATGCCAAAGAGTGGGATTCTTGAATTGTATGGTAGCTCTATGTTTAGTTTTTTAAGGAAACTCCATAATGTTCTCCACAGTAGATATATCATTCTACATTCCCACCAATAGTGTGGGAAGGTTCCCTTTTCTCCACATACCCTCCAGCATTTATTGTTTGCAGTCTTTTTGATGATGGCCATTATGACTGGTGTGATATAATACCTCACTGTAGTTTTGATTTGCATATCTCTAATAATTAGTGATGCTGAGCATTTTTTCATCTGCCTGTTGGCCATCTTCATGTCTTCTTTGGAGGAATGTCTGTTTAGGTCTTCTGCTCATTTTCCGATTGGGTTATTTGTTTTTGGTTATTGAGCTGAATGAGCTGTTTTTGTATATTTTGAAAATTAATTCCTTGACAGTTGCATTGTTCACAAATATTTTCTTCCCATCTATAAGTTGTCTCTTTGTTTTATTTATGGTTTCCTTCCCTGTGCAAAAGTTTATAAGTTTGACTAGGTCCTATTTATTTGTTTTTGCTTTTATTTCTTTTGCCTTTGGAGACTAACTGACCTAAGAAGACATTGCTACAATTTATGTCAGAGAATGTTTTGCCTATCTTCTCTTCTAGGAGTTTGATGGTGTCGTGTCTTCTAGTCAAGTCTTTAAGCCATTCTGGGTTTACTTTTGTGTGTGGTAATAGGAAGTATTTTAATTTCATTGACTTACAAGCAGCTCCTCAGCATCCATTTTAATTTTCAAAAATTCCACTCTAAATTCCTTAAGTTTTAGAATCAAAGTTTCATACTGCTTACTTATCAATGAATGGTTAATCTCAATTAATTCATATTATGAGATGAGTATAAATAAGTATTCTTAATGTGTGATGTACAAACCTTGCATTGTCTTACGCATGTGCACAGGAATTCACTTAGAGTTACAACTTCTCATTAAAATTCTTCAATGCTGACTTTCATATTTATAAGAAAAAATTAAGAAAGGCTCTATTTTACTCTACAGATAAAACAAATGATGATCTTATAGGTAACAACAATTACTCATGTATCCATAAATGGGATTAGATGAAACTAACCACATTTTGATGCCTGTACTGAAAATTTAAGTACCTCTTTATAGAAATCTATCATACTCACTCCTGTTACTTCTGTGTATCTTTAGTAGCTTCCCCCAGTGCTTGGACCATAGTAGGAATGGTGTTTGTTGGATGCATGATTGTAAAATTAATTTAAAACATTATTTTTAATCTGAATCTTTGCTTGCTTGAGTTACATTGTTTGCTATTCATCAAAGTAATTTATTTATACCAATAAAGCAGAAGTTTATAAAAGCTCTATAGCTTAAATTTTACAGCAAAGATTAGATTGAAATAGTAATTTCCCATTCTTAAATTTGTTATTCAGGTATAGTTTTTAAAAAAAAAAAATCACTGTGCTGTTATTCCATCAAGGAAATACAGTTTTAGTAAACTGAATTTTAATCTCTTAAAAAACATCATGAAACTATTGAATATTAACGACATTTCAAAAGCACATGAAAATATTTATTTTGTGAAATGAAAGTATAATTATTAAATAATTATATTATTAAATATGTCAGGCTATAGAATTTAATAATTGTAGAGTCCTTATCAGCTACTGGTTGGGGATTTTTCTTTTATATCAAACTGTATACATGAAAATATGAGATGCATATTTTGTGTGCATTCGAAAACAGGACTAGACCTATGTATATTAAAAAGATAAGGCAAAAACAATGAAGTGGTCATGGTCCAGTGTTGGAGCAATAAATGATTTGTTGTTTGTTTGTATTCTCCAGCACATTTTTTTTCATTAATTTTTATTAGTTGGAGGCTAATTACTTCACAACATTTCAGTGGGTTTTGTCATACATTGACATGAATGAGCCATCCAGCACATTTTTTAAAACAGTATTTTTTACTCGTAGAATGAAAAGGACTCTTGACTCTTCCTACATTCATCTTTATTCCAATTTTGTAATTATAAGTCTATTTTGGAATGAGTTCCTAAGACAGTTATTATTTTAATAGCTTCAGATTCTTTCACAATATTAAGAAGTTTTATGTACACAACACACACATATGTACACACATGTACACACATACATGTACACACATGTACACACACCCACACACTTCTTTCCAAATGCTCCACCCAGTGTGCAAGTTTGCCGACGTTAGAGATTCGCCTGGTCACAGGTTCTCTAAAACATGCCTTTTAACGTAGTTGTAAGGTCCTTACCAGCCACTGGTCGGGGTTTTTTGCTAAGACATCTGGGGCTGTCCTCAGGATTCCCATCATCCCCTCGGAAAACCCATGCAGCTGAATGGAAGTTCTCTGTGTAGAATCCTTTTTCTTCAATACTGACTCGAAAGCCAAGGTCCGCAGAGCAGGCGTCTTCTGAGGTGACTGAGGAGCAGAAAAGGTGGTGACCTGAATTAGGATTTGGGAAGAAAGCCGTGGGCGTGCTGATGGCCAGGGTGAGAAAGCCCTGAATATATATGCAGGGGAACAGTCTGTACTAAAGCAGTGTGGTCCCTGAAAACAAGTGGCTAAGTTTGTTATTTCTCTCGGGAAGAACTTATATGGTCCTAAAATATCGTAAATAAAACAGGCGTTGCTTGAGGGTCTCTGCGGTGGGAGTCAGTATACTAATCCTTTCGTGGAGAAGTATGTTTCTGAGACTTACATATTAGTATTCAGGTATCAAGAGGAAGCCACATGAGACTGAGAATTAGATTTAGAATCCCTTTCAAAATACTGAGCGTGGGGAAAAAAATCCCTATTTTCTCAGTGCTTCAAAGAAGGTGCTGCAAAAACATACATTCCGAGAAAACTCTATGCTCTTACATGTAGAATGAAGCATGTAGGGAGGCAAGTAAAGTTTCCTCTGACAGTTTCATTCATAGCAGTTGACCGTTTTCTGTGTATTTGGGAGTTTACTGAATTCTCTGGGAGGCTGTGCCAGTTAAGGGAAGAAGAGTGCACTTCTATTTTAGCTTCTAAGTGTTTCTTTGTGGTCCTGTTTGGGTAATTAAAACCTTAATAAAGTCATGCCCCACGTCTTTCTGTCTTTCAAGGATACAAAATTGAGAAGCACTATTTTGTAACTAAAACCTACATTCAAGAAAAGCATAGATCGTTTACTTACATTTCTTCATTATCATGAAGAGAGTGGGGCTTGAAGATCCCAGAATGATTCCTCAACAATAACAACGACAAAGTCCTCTTTTTATCTCTTCTCACATACTATATTTGCTCCCGTATGTTTATCTTAAACATCACAGGTGAAGCCTTTCCCTTCCCCCGCTCACTGTGTCCACCCGCCTTCAGCACCGTGCTTCTGCGGAAGGTCAGTTATGTGAAGCCACTAGGAAGAAAGTTTCTTTTGTACTCACCTGATTTTCTCTGGACACTCACTCCTAATGGTTCTTGCCACTCACCTTACATTTCTACTTCTGCTGTCCTAATACCAGACTGAAGGGTGCAAGTGGTAGTTGTCCTGATACATAGATCCGAGCAACAGTGAGTTTCTAGTTCAAGTGTTTGTTTAACTTGGGTAGAAACGGTCCGGGGTGGCATACTGACAAAGCATGAAATAGCATACAGGCTCTCACAGACAGTCAAGAACAAATCTCCAATATCTTTAATGCTTGTTCTTACTTACAGTTTTTATTTTATATACCAAACAATATTGTATCAGTCACTTTATATCAATCCACGATGGTTTAAGTGGTTTTAGATGCATTTGAATTACTTAATTAATCAAATTAATAAATTACTTGCATTAATTAAATGCAATTAAATTACATTTAAATTACAATTTATCGAGTTGAAGTAATTTAAAATAATTATTCCTTTGTCATGAACAAGGTACAATTTTAGGCATAATGGGGATAGAAAGATGAGTCAGATATGGTACTTAGGATGAGATAAGAGGGTTCAGAGGAAGGAGAGTGGTCGTGACTGAAGGGAAAAGCAGAAGGAAGGGTATCATTAGACTGGACCTTGAGGACTGGGTGAGCTCCCCAGGTGGCTCAGTGGTAAAGAACCCACCTGTCAATGCAGGAGACACAGGAGACGCGGGTTTGATCCCTGGGTTGGGAAGACCCCCTGGAGGAGGAAATGGCACCCCACTCCAGCATTCTTGCCTTGAGAAGCCCATGGACACAGGAGCCTGGAAGGCTGTAGTCCATGGGGTCACGAAGGTCGGACATGACTGAGCATACACATGTGAGGAGTGGGCAAAATTTCTACAAGATATTGGGGTTATGGGTTGGTAGATAAACATGTGGACAAGTAGGGAAGAAGGTACTGGAAAGATAGACCATGTTGATTGAATAAATCCAGTTTTGGTGGGTGAAGATAAAGGGGATGATGTATGGTAATATAATGTAATGATAAAGTTAAAATGTAAATGATATTAGAATGTTATGGGACATCTTGTCTGTTGAAATAAAAATGATGAAAGCTTTAGAATAGAATACTTCAACTCTGGATATAGAATATCGTCTTCCACATATCATATTCCAACATCCCTCAAGTATGTTTGCACTCATTTTTGTAACATTGTAACATTTGACATTAAATGGTAGGAAAAGTAAATTAAAAAATTATAATAATTCATTGACCTATCTGAACTTTAAGCCTAAATCAAAACTGCTTCTTACATACTTGCTAAAGTTACAGAAGCCCTAATGTGTCTTCCATGATTTGATTTGTCTATATCCTTAGCCTTAAATATTCAGTTATATTTTAATATTTATGAATATAACATATGTAGATTCCTGGGTAAGGATTTATCTTCATTATTTTTCTGAATAGGAGCTGTCCATGTTGGATAGGTAATTATCCCCCTATCATTTAACAGTCTGAGGGTGGGCCTTTAAATTATAGATGTCTTTGTTTTTGTCAGCCTGCATGAGACTGTTAAAATAGCTCACTTATTTATAAACAGATTTGATTATGTGGATGAGCAGTTCTCTGTTCATTCAGTTACCGAGACAGAGCTGATCAAAATATTCTTGCGTAAACTGAGACATAAAATCTGTGTTAAAATCCAGTGAAGCAGCATGTCACACGCCTGCTGCAGCTTTGAGCTGCTGGGTTTCCCAACAACTGCCCTTTTGGAGCTTTGAGCCAAAGAGAAAACAAAACAAATGTTTCTGTAACCAAAATTTGGTCATCTAAATTTGGCTGGTAAGATGAATCTTTCAATAAGTGAAACTTTAAAACGGAATGAGCTCTTTTTTGAAAAATTGAAATTCTTTACAGTAGTTCTTGTTGTTATCTATTTTATACATAGCAGTTTGTACATAACATGTATACAGAATGAGCTCTTAAATATTCTCGGTATGACAGAAATTGCATGTTCACTTCTTTGCTCTTGAAAAATTTAAATACTTCACTTTTTTGGACTTAAGAATCAAAAAGAAAAAAAAACAACTCAGCTCAGTTTCAGGTGTTTTTAGACATTCTCATATCTCTCTCATTCTGTATTATTTTTTATTCTGTATTTTTTGAATTATTCTGTATTATTTGAAGCTAACAAAAAAGTGGTATCTTTTTTGTCTTATGAAGTCTTATGAAGAGTCTTATGAAGTAAGACTCTGTTTGGACATTTCCAGTGAAAGACCATGTCAGATACAAATGGTCCAGTCAGTTTTGCCACTAATTATATCTGTGTGACATTAGCTGTTCTCTCCATGATTTATTCTTTTATTCTCTCCATGACTCAGATTCCTCATTGGGTAAAGTCAGGAAGAAAATATCATGCTTAACTCATTTATATCATAAAGCCTGGCATAGTAAGCACAATGTAATTATTAGCTCTTACTATTGGAAATTGAAATTCCTTTATCATGTAAATACAGTTCTTTAATAATTTTTATTGCGGAATGAAATAAGGGAAATGCTATCAAGAGTCCTCACACAATTAGACCTAAATTCTTGCCACATATGTTTGTACTACAGGAACCAATTGAGATTATGAAAATCAGAACTCCATGCTGCAGACCCTTCTGACTTCAGTATACAGCCTTCAAGTTATCTACCTGGTGTGCCTTAGTCAGCATCCCCCACAGCCTAGATAGATTGATCAACTGTGTCCACAGACATAAATATGCCATTCCTAATGTGTTTTCCAGTTATTGTGTAGGAAGTCAGAGCTGAGTGAGATTAACAGACTGAAAAACACCAGCTCTAATGATGCTCGATAAAGCTGTCAGATTTTAAGTCATGGATTAGGAGCATATCCTGACTCTGTAAATGAGATAAAATTTAAAGCACACAGTAAGCAATGCTAGCTCCAGCAGCTCTGAGTGAATTGCAGCCTCTACTGAAAAGTTTCTCAGGAAATACAACATGCCTACTGACTGTCTGTGCCTTGGATAAACTGAAGAATAAAATGGCGGTTCAATTCCCTCATGTCTAATCTGAAACAAATTGTTAGTATACATTTCTATTCAAAACAGAATTCATCCCAAAGGAAACAATAATTGCTTTAATTAAAATGATTATGGTATTTTGGCTTGAATTTGAATTGAAGTCATACAACTGATTCCTGTGTTGTTTCTAGTGGATACCGGTAAATGTTTAACAAGTGATTGTCCAAAAGAAAAAAAAAAAAAAGCCCTGATTTGTAGTGTTTGCTTTTCCATTGAATAAATACTTCATGGCTGGTTTCATGCTACCAACCTGATGTTAATGAATTACAGTGTTGGGGGGATAAAAGTGCTTTACCCTCTGAGCCACCAGGGACGCCGATAAAAGTGAACAATTGGTTAAAATAAACCACTGTGAGCTGATTCCACCTGTTATTTGGTTACTTGGTGTGTGCTCAGGTGTGTCCAACTCTTTGCAACCCCATGGACTGTAGCCTGTTAGGCTCCTCTATCCATGGAATTTTCCAGGCAAGAATAATGTAGTGAGGTGCACTTCCTCTTCTGGGGGCTCTTCCTGACACAGGGGTCCACGCAGGGATGGAACCTGCATCTCTGGCATCTCCTGCATTGGCAGGCGGGTTCTTTACCACTAGTGCCACCTGGATGAGCTGATTCCAACACAGCTCTAGTTGTTCCTTTTTCTGCAGGGCAGACGTGATTGTGAAGGAGACTAGTAGTAGCAGATTTGTCCATAAAACTAAGGATTTCAGGTTGCTGGCTGTGGAGTATGTCAGAGAAGCCCTTTTATCTTAGGGGCTTGAGCATCCAGGGATTTGGTGACCATGGAGGTGAGTCCTGCAAACAACCACTTGTGGATCCAGAGTACCAACTTTATTGCTTTTGTGTGAGATATTCTTTGGGGGACCAGGAAGAATAGGGCCAACAGCAATTGTATCTAATTTACGTGAATAAAACAAGATTTATTTTCTTCAGTCCAGTTCAGTTCCTCAGTCATGTCCGACTCTT